GTGTTTGCGCGTGTCTGCCACCCACTCAAAAAGACAAAGGTCTGAAACCAGATGATGGCACAGCATTGTCATCAGCCACGCATGCTGCTTTTTAGCACCGTCATCGTTGTGTCGGTGGACCACCTCGCTGCTTAAACCACAAACCATAAACTCTTCTTTTTTATATGTGATGCAGTGCTGCCTTTAGACAAAGCGTAGCTCATCTTATGTGCTTTGAATCCCCAGGTCTGGCAAACTGTAGCCTGGATGCTTCATGGATGATCATTATTACATACTCCAAATAAACTGTAATGGCTATGTATTGCCATCACTACGCGCTTCTTGCAATTGACCCCTTACCGTGCTTTATTAAAGCAAGAATTACTTCTGCCGGAAAGCAGATGTTTTTGATGATTTTCACCCTTACTTGGATCCAATCAGAGAGACGTGACGTGGGTGAAAGCTTTTCAACTGCTGTGCACAGTACCAATAAATTAACACCTCCCTTAGTTTAATGAATGCATCATAATCATCATGTGTGTGTATGCGTGTTTTTTTATCAGCATTGTTCCTTGATGACAGCTGTGAAAGCCTGGATGTCTTTTCCAGGATAGTATTAGCCCAGAATATAGCCTTGGACTACCTGACCTCATATCTCACACAGCTGCAATTCTTCTAAATGAACTGATCTCGTCTTTTGTGCGCAACCTAATGTTTTAACAGCCCCCCAAAGGATATCAGCCATTTTGATGTCCTTTAACCATATATAGCAAACCTCTATGCTCTTCACTATTAGGAAGTGAGACTTCCAAGAGTCTGAACTAGTAAACGACACTTTCACATAACACTGTATGTACAGAATGTGACACTTTTACTTGTTAAAAGTAAGGCTATGTTCACACCGAGTCTAAAAATGAAGCCGTGCAAGTGTACCCTCCAGGTGACAAGCACGTTCCTACTCTTAACCTCACAATAATAAAGACTGGGGATAACATGAGATGATAATATACAAAATTCTGTTTCATAGTGTACAAAAGAGCTGTGTAGTTGTTTTTTGTGTAGTTGTGTCTGATCTGGAGTCTTCTGTCTCATCTATCACTTTTTACCGAACTTACTGAATCATGTTTCACATTTTCATCTGTACCTGTAGCAACCATGGAAAGTTACAGCGCTGTTCCTGGGAGTTTGCTTACAACATACCCCAACCAACATAGATCCTTGTGTTGTTATAACGCAGTGCTATTTTCGGCCTAAACACCCGCTAACCTTTAACTCGTTAACTCTCTTATTTTCATAGTAACTTACCTCCTCCAACCAACTCTGTTACGAGCATATATATGAAAAAGGATGACTGCATTATCAATACTAACTTTAATGTTTGGCAGTTAGATATGATGCTGCAACAAACAAACATGTTTGGCAATAGATAGAGTTATTATTCACTCAGTTCAATTGCTGCACTGAATTCTTCCCTGTGACAGCCCTAGCGTAGGTACTTAATTTATTTGCTTCCTCCACCTCCAAACTAGACAAAAAGGAAGAGCGAGGAAAAATCAAACCTAATTTATGCAAAGACCAAGCACAATGATGTGATAGATCATGAATACATCAGTGAGAAAAAGGCTCTCAAACAAAGTTTGACAGGATGGAAGGAAAAGACTTTACGAGTCCAAGGCCTGCACTTAGTGTGACAGCGCCTGTACATTATGAAAAACTCTCCGAAGCAGCTTCACCACCATTTACCTCATAATTTTAAAAGGGGAATAATGATGAGCAGTTGCGAAAAGCATGTGTCACTCAAAGGCTTTAAAGATCAACTGTATATGCAGCAAAAGGGGAGGTAATGGCTTCACCCACAAGTCCACATCACTGACAAAGTGAGTGGCTTCTGTGCTGGTGTGTGTGTGCATGTGTCGTGTGCACGGTCCTTATTCGTGTCCGTCTGTGATCTCCGTAGGGCGCAATGGTGATGCTGTGCTTCCCCGCAGACTCAGTTTTGGGACACCGTCCAGAGCTCAGCTTCAGCACCAACTCCCTCCCTCTCTCTCTCTCTCTCTCACACACACACACACAGAGTCACACCCGCCCACACAGCTTCTCCTGCACGCACACATGCACTGTTACACCTGCCTACGCATTCTCTCTCGTGGATGCAGACACACATGCGCACACCTTTTCCCAGTGGCGGTGGCGGTGCATACGGCATCCAATTAGTTTTGGCACCTCTGAGGGGTTTTGGTTGCGGTTGCTAACATTATTCCTCTGGTCTGGACAGGGCTTAACAGAACTGTGTGTGCTGCAGTGTGTTTATCTGTGTGCATGTATGCCGGGGTGTGTGGGCGGTGCTTGTTGTGATCCTGTGATTTAGTATGCATGTGTGTGGGCAGGTGTGATTTTGTGCATGTGAACTGTGAAGGAGTGGTTGGGTATCAGTGGCTCGCTGCAGCTTTTACACAAGGGTGTGGAGGTCAGTCCCGTGACTCTCATCGTCACAGGGTCTCTGTGAATGTCGAACCTGTTATCTTACACAAAACACCTTAATTCAAACTCATCTTTGTGTTTATAATAATTTGAAAACAAAAATTACAAGGAAGCTCATAATGTCACCAGACTTAATATCCTTTGCGGCAGCTTCAAATCAGTTGAAGGAAAAGCAATTGTAACAATACCAGTAGTGTGTTTTATGCTGTGTGTCTTTAATATCTGTCAGGAAGAAAAGGGTAGCTAGGTTTTTATTAGGTTTTTCTTTGATGAGACTTGAAGATTATTGGTTATTTACACTGGGAGCCAGGCTTACACCTTGAGCTGTGCTTGATTAAAAGTTCCTCTCTGTGTAACTGCCCAGCTAACGTAGAAAAACAAAGCTCTCAGTGGGGCTATATATCCTTGAACAGGTTGAGTAGCTACTTTAAATCCCTGTAGCATTGTGACACTCTGGGCTTTCAAGCCTTTGTGTTAACAGAAATAATCCATATCATGCTTTTATTCATTTGCATCAAGACCCATGGGATGTGTTCCAGTTATGTGCTTTACTAAGAATAGTGTAAGAATAATGTTTTATTTTATTGATTTTTTTTTTCTTTCAGTTGCTGCAATAGTGTATGCTTTCAAAACATATTTACACACAATAAAAATAGATAATAGCATGGATATGATGACTAAGGACCACATAGAGGCACTGTTTCTGCTCCCTAAATTATATATTACAGCATAACTACGCATGGCAAGATTACTTGTATAGCACCTGTCAAACACAGGCAACACAAAGTATTTTATATAAGACAAGATGGTGCATTACAAAAGCATTGAAAAACACAATTGAAAAGGAACATAAAATCAATCAAAATAAAATAAAATGTGAGAAAATTAAATACAAAGAGACAAAACATTAAAGACAAGAAGTAGAGTTGGAATACAGACCTCACAGCAGATGTATTAATTTGTCAAAGCAATAAAAGCACAGGTGCAATCAATAACATTAACGATGGCTCTGTTCCTTTAAGTTTCCCAGTCAGACAGCATGCACATTACCGGAACCCTGGAAGTGACACATCTCTAAATTGAATGCAGTCGTTATTAATGTTAATTCCACCTGTGCTTTCAAGAACATAGTCACATTTAAGATCATTCGAAAGCAAAGTCATTTGGAAGCTAGTTTTGTTCTGACTCGATGTGCTACCAGCTGACTGCCTGTCATATCAGGATCTTAATATACAGTATTATTAATATATCCTCTCTCTACTTGAGCCTGGCCCTTGTGGTTCATTCTCAAACCGACGGCCCTGTCTGGTGACTTCATTTTGTTATGTTTGATTCAGGAATTAAATCGGTGTTTGAGCACATCGCTTGAGTAATTACATCTGAGTCATAGCTCATCACTGCGTGGACACTAGGCAAAGCTGTCATATTTTCTTATGAGAGGAAATTAGAGGAATGATTGTACGGCGTCGCTAATCAGGCCACCGTGTTGTGACTCTTCCGTGTCATGGAGTTAAGGGGTGTTTGGACCTGCTCATGCTAGACTGATTCTAATTTAGCTTCACTTCCCTCTGCCCTCCTCCACGTTCACCAAGATTTGCCATGTCATGCCGGCCATGTTCTGTCCTCTCCTTTTTGGTCTTCGTGGCCTTTCCCTGTTATCTCCCCTTTTCCCTCTGTACTAATTCATATCACTCCACTCTGCCCACATCTTTTCCACCACTCTTCTCCTCACCTTTACTTTCCTGTCTCCCCCACAGCTCCAGTCTCTTTTCCCACTACTGTATTCTAACCTTCACTATGTTGCTCCCTCCTGACCTCTCTCTCCTCTCTTCCACCCACTCTACTCGCAATAAGCACTGCAATGAGGATCCATATTGGATTATTGTGTCTGCCATTAGCCTCTGGGTTGACCGTGTAATTGCCTTCATCCACCAAGGTCTCTGTATGCCTGACCCTACCAACTCTGTATTTGCATTTCTGCAGGAAATACTGGATGACCTGTCCATCAAAAAGCTACAGAGATTTAGTTGAGATGGCTAGATAGGTAGAAAAGTCTAGCCATTGTGTACCATTCCTCATTTCCATGTCCCTACTGGCTGCTTGGTAGTTATTATGTCCTGGGTGCAGGCAGGACCAGGACCTGCAAGAGTTAACAAGCTAGCAAGTCAGAAACCGGCAATCATCTTTCATAGCAATGGTTCTACTCAGAGCTGACAGCTACCTGCTACCCCCACTGGATAAGCATAAACATTCCTCAGTGCGTAGCTCTTTCACACTCACTCTCTATAAATATGTATGCTGCCCTCAAGCGCTTGATGTTTTGGTGTCTTTGTCAAAATCGATGCCCACATGTCGGTCACGTCCTTAGGCAGACATGCAACCTGCTCATCGTCAGGTTTATAATCAAAAGAGCTGCTTTTCAGATCATTCTGTTGATCAGAGACTTGAAGTTTTCCGACAAGACTGTTAATGACCTCGTGTGTGTGTCTCTCTCTCCCTCTCCCCACCTCTCTTCCATCAACTTTGTTTTCCCCTCTCAGGGCCGCTGCACACGAGAGAACTGCAAATACCTCCACCCGCCCGCTCACCTGAAGACCCAGCTGGAGATCAACGGGCGAAATAACCTGATCCAGCAGAAGACAGCGGCCGCCATGTTGGCTCAACAGATGCAGTTCATGATCCCCGGCACCACCATGCAACCTGTGGTCAGTGCTGGCTTCGCTGCTGTGGGAATTAACTGGCAACCCAGTGTGACTCACTATAAAAATAGCAATGAACTCTACACTGCAAAAAATCAACATTTTGCAATATCACATACGTGTGTGATTTAATTTAGAAAGTTGCAAAATGTTGCCTACATTATTTTGACCTTCATGCCAATATAATTTCCTTTCAGTGTCATTGTCTTGGCACAAACTTTAACTGACAAACGGGGCACGACTCACTGAGAGAATCTGAAAATTCTGTTACAGTACATTGAAACATCCTTCTATTAGATACTTAATGAAAACCCCATTTGCAGAAGAAATATCTTGAATTTGTTCTCACAGTAGAGATTGAGATGCCCTTGAGCAAAGCGCAAAACTGAAAGTTGCTCAGCAGTCAGTGGTACACTGTGGTTGCACTGGGCAGCTGCCAGGTGTGAACGTGTTGAACTGCATCAATGTAAGGCTGGGTGTAGCTGAAAAAGAACATGCTTGCTCAGTAAAATCTTCCCAGGATAGATAGAGGTTAAAAAAAACTCTTTTCTTATTTCTGCCCTCCCTCTCTCCACTTTTTCTCTGAGACCTATTCCTCTCTTGTCCCGTCTCTCTCTCTCTCACCTCTTGTGTCTCTTGTGTCTCTTTCTTCTAACTTCTCTCCCTCTTTTCCATCTCTATGCCCTCTTTCTGCCTTTCACCCTCCACTTCCACACTACTTCCACCATTTTACGCTATGCCAACTATTACTTTGTCCATGTCTACCATTTAAATTAAGAATGTGACAAATAGCTCAAACAAGGAAAGCAAAGCAGACAGAATATCTTTATAGAGCAGTCACGACAACATAGAGTAGCTGTCCCGTTAAGTATTGGTAAACTGTCTTTTCTCTCCATCTACAGCAGACATTTCCAGTCAGTCAGGGCCTGGGTTCCAGTGCGGGTTTGAGCTACACACCCTACCTGACTCCCATGTCCCACAGCATGGGCCTGGTGCCCACAGACATCCTGCCCAGCACCCCCTGCATCGTCCCCGGTAGCCCGCCCGTCTCCATGACCGGCAGCTCCTCCTCCAACCAGAAACTGCTGCGTACCGACAAGCTGGAGGTGACCTACCTGATCACAGTCCTCCCTCTCCTTAGACAAGACGTGTATGACAGCTAATCATAGCTAATGTTCTCTTTGAGGTCGTGAAGTATAATTGTGGTAACATCTTACTGTGATTATGGATGTCAAAGAGATACAACAGATCCGTGGTGCTAATTTGTATCATTATTAGCTCCAGAGCATTCACAGGACAACCTCTGGGTATTATGGTTTTGATAGTCACAAATACATGCGTAATATTCTGAAAAGATTTTCTACATACTGTGCAATACAAAAAAGAAAACAATATAACATATGAACTATCTCCTTGGTTACCACAGGAGTTGACACTGTATGGGAATCCTTTAAAGCACATCTTTAACCTTTGAATTCACTTTTTGAATGCAACTAGTTATTGTATAAATTGCCCTTGACAAGGACCTGAAGAGATGAGCAGGTTTTGAGCTATCTGTTTCATAAGCAAGTAATTCATTACTTAAAGTAATCAATCTCACATCATACTACATGTTGTGTAATAACTGCAGTGATTGTTTATACTGCCACGTACCACCAAAACAACACTGTTAAGATAAGATAGACTGTATTGATTCCACACAATGGAAATTCACCTGTTACAGCAGATCCAGATAAAACGCAACAGATAAGAAACCACACATTAAATAAATATATAAGAATTAGAAAGATAAGAATAAGACTGTGTACACATCTACATCTTTTATATACAGATGTGAATGATGCTCTTCACTTGATCTGTGTATCAGAAACATAATTTGAAAAAAAAGAGATAGTGTGAGATTATAGTCATTTAAATTGGAATTTGCTCAACACAAACTGGTACTTGCTAGACAGCCACAGTTAGACTGGGACAATTACAACAACTTCAGCCATCGCCATCTGCCCCCTGGCAAGCAACTCTGAATGAGAATAGCTTTGTGATTGTGAAAGGGGAGGGTTTTTTTCTCTCTCCACTACATTTATAAAGATAAACAGTAATCTCCATAAGACCTGGAGGTGATGCGTAGGTGTGTGCCTGTATGTGTTTTTCTCCAGGAGTGCTATCACTTAGCAACTGAATGAAGTTGGCTCTAATGAAACAGTATCCCTCTGAGACACTCCCACACAAAGCCAGCATGTATGTGCACACGTGTGTGTGTGTGAATGTGTGTGTGTGTGTACAGTGTTTGCCTCACTCCCAGAGTGCAAGTAAAAAGCAGATCCCCCTATGATTATGCCCAGGCCTCTGAACAGGTGACTGGTTCAGTGATTTCACAATCATTTTGGTTTTGCACACATCGCAGTTTAGTTACATTTTCACACCAAGTCCATTTATTGTCTGTATTTAAAAGTGTTGGTGCGAGTCTGGAGCGCAGAATAAAGTTAAACCTTTCGTACGCTCTATCTCCTATGATGTGGATTAGACTAAGAGCAACATAGCCTTTATATATTAGTATTGTGTTTGTTTTCTGGAAGCAGGAAAACAAATACCTGATACCTGATATATGAATTTTGGAGGTTTTTCCACCTTCTTCTAACACCCTCCACTGTAAACAAAGGTTGAAGCAGAATTATGGACTTACAGTACTTCACATGAGAGTAGCACACACATCAACAGAGACTGATAACATAGCAAACAACTATTTGTGACCAAACACTAAACTTTTTGCTGCTCAGACACCATGTTAGTTATGGACACATCACGTCAACAGCATTTATGTAAATTAATCAACAATACAGAAAATGAGCTGGCCTCTCATTTTTACAAAAGTATTGTAGCCATGACAATCCTCAATTCTGTGTGCAAGACATCCTATATTTGAGTGTTCATTTAAAAAAAACACTCTGGTCCAAAAATATCGCACCTGGTGTACAAAGGCCTTAGTTGGCCTTACCATGCATTATTTGAATATGTATTAAGAAACTTATTTTTGAAACAGTCAGATACTAAAATGTCAAAAACTTAAAAAAAAAAATCCAATATCATCAAGATTTTAATAGCTGCCTGAATTGTGCTAGTTGGTTGAGCATACAATACAGTGAGAGGATGACAAAAAATAAATTCAATTGGATGCTGCCAGTGCAGTGAGTATTATGCAGTTCCTTGTGATTGTAACTTTGCTGACATGTACTAAAAGCTGTGTGTGTGTGTGTGTGTGTGTGTGTGTGTGTGTGTGTGTGTGTGTGTGTGTATGTGTGTGTGTGTGTTTGTCCAACCAACTCTCCTGCTCCCAGGTTTGCCGCGAGTTCCAGCGCGGCAACTGCGCTCGCGGTGAGACTGACTGCCGCTTCGCCCACCCGAGCGACAGCCCCATGATCGACACCAGCGACAACACAGTCACCGTCTGCATGGACTACATCAAGAGCCGCTGCTCCCGCGAGAAGTGCAAGTACTTCCATCCCCCGGCCCACCTGCAGGCCAAGATTAAGGCCGCCCAACACCAGGCCAACCAGACAGCTGTGGCAGCGCAAGCCGCCGCCACAGCTGCAGCCATGGTGAGAGCGCAGCACTACAGACTACGTACTGTACCCTGTGTCTGTACAGTGGTAGAGCAGGAAGCACACATACTGTTCTTGTCATAAATCTCACAAAGTTTCTGCTTGTTTAGAATACATATATTGCAAGAGCTTGTAAGGTCTGGATGGGAAAATAATGGCTATTTTATAGTGCTTATATACAGAATACCTTGAACTTTCCAATAAGAGCCTTCGTTACAATATCCAGGGAGGCTTTTACAGAGCATCAAGTTATTATTGGAGGCTTTATGTTTGTTGAAGAGCAAAACAAACAGTATTATACTCTCCCTTAATAACAGTCATATTAGCACAGGGATTCTTGTTCAAAGCTGCCGTGCCTAGGTGCAGCAACCTGACTTTATACAAAGCACATATTGTTTCAATTAGACATCAGAGATTGTTGAATGTCCCAGAATACAGACTGTAACTGATCGGACACAGTCCAACACTTTCTATGATACACTTTGTACCAATTAAGGTACACGTAGCCACACATGGGCTCACTGAATATACGTGACATTGTTACAAATCATCTTGGCGTACACATGCTGTTGATGATGACACCCACAGTAACATAAAATGTGGAGCACTGCTTTATTACTGTATTAAACATACCCACCTCTACTGGTTTATTCTAGAGGACTCCAATGTACAATTCACTAACAATAGTCATCCCAAAGTGAGGCCGTTGTATACAATAAACAGGGTTTAGTGAGACCTAAACGCATGAGTATAATGCCGCAAGAACAATCTGTTATTATCTCACTGCAGTCTGCTTTTATTTTCCAATGCCCTTGGTTCATACAGAGACAATGTGCTGGCTCACCCTCCATCCCACCTCCCCCTGCTCTCAATGATAAGTGCAGCTCTCTGCAGATCAGTGCAAATTGAATCAGGGATGGATGAGGCTGTAGCCTCACAGGTGGGGGTTTACCCTCCTTTGCCTTTAGTTGGAAAAATCCCACAACAGGCTGAGGAAGAGTCAGGCAAACAGTAAGATAGACAGAAATGTAAGCAGACAGACAGTTTAGGAGGGTTTGGCAGTGTGTCTCGGCTGTGCCCCACCCTCCCCCAGACTCCGAGTGGCTTCTTTTGAATGGTTCGTTGGCTGCTGCACTCGCACACCTTGTACTGCGCCAGTGTGCTGACTGAATTTCTTCCTCCATGGCATGGGCATGCTTTACGCGTTGCACATACCTCTCTCATTGGCTGGCTCCATCGCTGCTTGCTCTCCCTGTCCTTCCTCCATTAAGTCCACAGTGCGGACGATAAGGCGACCGTGACTTCAGGTTAGTTTGGTTTGTGCACACTGTAGGAGCTGCATGAAAGCAGGAAAAACAAGGAAAAGAGAGCCTGAGACCTATAACCTGATTGACCTGTCAGCACTGTTTTCAGTACATGGAGTACCTTAGCTCAACAACTTCCCCATCAGGTACTGTACACAATACTTTGTCAAACAAAGATTTAGTTTATCTTCCTAGGGCATTTTCCTTACAATCCTATGCCTCTTACTCCTCTTGTGTTCCTCATATGCCCCAGTTTATCAACTTTATGACCCAATTCCCAATTTACCATCAGCTCTTACAAGCGTTAGAGGTGAGCAGAGTTAAACTAAGGACAATGAGTCATTTAGTCAGCACCTTTAATCCAATTTTCTTTTAGCCTTTAGCCTTTAGATGAAGCATTTTTATTGAAGTAGAGACCCATAAAACCTGTATTGCTGCACTGCTGCAAATAGGTAACAACATTATCCATAATTCACTTATTTTAATCTAAAGCAAACAGACCAAAGTGTACTGTAGATAAGGTTACACATTAATGATACAGTTACAGTAAGACGATCCTATTAGCGAGATTATGTTGTTTTACTGTGCCACATTATATGTTGCTTGCCATCCTGTGATCTTCTTCCTCATTGCAAGTCAATTGCGGTCATCTTTTGCTTTTCATGTCACTTTAAATGACCATCTTCCATTTTGCCTAACCACAGCGTTTTAAGTGTGTTAACACTACAGTGCATCAGCAATGCGTTGTTGCTCTTTAATAGGATATACTGTATATCATTTTATGCTAATAGAAAATGCACATACATGAAGCAAGAGGCTTGTGCATGGACCCCTTAAGTGCTGTGCTCATCACATCCATGTCATCTTTTTTTTTTTCCTCTCAGCAGCGACATCGAATGTAAGGACGTTTTTTAAGAAATTAACAAAAGCAATCACTTGAAATAAAACAATTTATCTGACATTAGGTCTCTTGCGGTTTAATTGCTTCTAGATTTTAAGATAGTTATTGTAGCTAGGAGGAACGTAAGAATAAACAGAGCTCCACATTCTGTGATTGAACTCTAGCTTTGCCTCACATTGTGTCACCTCCCCACGTTCATTGATCACACTAACAAGCCACACGCGCTCACGACGCAGATTTAGTTTGAGGATTTGTCACTTATTACAAGCACTAGACCTGAACCGACGGCTTCTGCAAAAAAAAAGAAAAAAGGATGTGGTCGTTAAACTACTTCATGTTAGGATTGTTAGGACTACTTATTGTTGCTGCTGCGTGGGCGACAACACCTCGACACCCTCTCGCTAGTAGTACCTGTAGTTTAAAACCTGCCTACACAAACGTGTCCAGGTCTTGCAGCAGGTTGTGATGGCAGAGTTCGGTATATTGAGGGGGTTTGACCAGGGCTCACTCACATACCAATCTGTTGTGGGTGTTTTAGACAGTTCTCAGGCCCCAAATCCACCGCACATCATCAAATAGAGTACTCCACGAGCACTGTAATTATGTGTGTAGGATTGTAGGTTTTTTTGAAAGCTGTAGAGAACCTGTGTTCATATTTCACTTAAAGTGTCAGCCCACTATCTAATCTGAATCAGTTGTGTTTACTGCATTTTCTTCTTGCGTAGATATAAAAAAAAAGTGATTAACTTGTTCAGAAATAGTTGACGTTACTACTAAATGCTTTCCCAGTAGTTTTGAAGTACATCGTAGTATCTTGCTTTTTTAACCAAAAGGTTAATGTAGATGCTTTTTTTTGCTTTTGTACTAATTCAAAAAGTAGCAATGTTTCTTTAAAGTAAACAAAACAATTTTTTGTTTATGTGCATGTCTATTGTTTTGTATGTGGTATACTTGCATTCAGATTATTTTTGTTTTTGTTTTTTTCCTTCTCACCTATCCACAAATGCAATGCTGTCCCCCATGACGCACCTCTGCTTGCTGTTACCTGTATGTTAATACGCTTGAATCCCATTGGCCCACTGCCATCATGTGCTCGCTGCCTGCTAATTAAAGACTCAGTCGACTGCCAAAGCAATGAAGCGACCCCTCGAGGCAACTGTAGACCTGGTACTTTGACCTTTCACCTTTTGCTTTGCATGTAGCTTCTTTAATTGTACTGTAGCCACTCACAAAATTTAAGTTGGCTCTTTTGTTTTTGTGAAACCCTGTAAGACACTTTTAAAGTATAAATTTGTATCATTTATGATCAGCAGTGACAATTCTAGATTGTACTGTATGTTTATTAAATGAACAACTACAGTGTAATGTTAAAATCACTCTACTTTCAATTATATGTATTGTTGATTGCCTTGCTATGGTGTAGTTTCTCATTGTCCTTGTGATAGTTACAGCAAGTTTCCATTTTTGCCTTGTTGTGCTGTGCATAGACAAATTAGATTTTACAAATATCAGTGTTTTAAGTATACAGTTCAAATCTACTGTGCTTCTGTTGTGTGTGTGTATCTGTGTGTGTGTGTGTGTGTGTGTGTGTGTGTGTGTGTGTGTTTTCGGTGGATAGGCGTTCCCCCACGGCGTCCTCCAGCCCCTACCAAAGAGACAAGCACTTGAGAAGAGCAACGGAGCGAGCTCCCTGTTCAACCCCAGTGTTTTGCACTACCAGCAGGCGCTGGCCAACGCACAGCTCCAGCAGCCTCATTTCTTTCCCACAGGTAAGAGCTCCCGATCGATACACACGGTGCACAGATGCAGATAAAAGCACTCAGGTATGCGGAGCATGCAAGCACACACAGATGCACTCACTGAATGTACTCAGCTAACCACCCATCCACCACAAATGTATCTTTTTGGGGGTTTTCATGCTGACGTGAGAGCAACTCTCATGACCAGTTAAGTCTGTTTAGTTCTACACTCTGTTTTTGAAAGAGATTCATTTGAGTGTGTGCTAATGTTTGAGCTATTCACAGTGGCACCCCTTAACTTTGATCTAGTGCCTGCCAATATAAACATGTAACCGCTGCCAGGTGGAAGGGCAGTGCAGGCTTTGATAAGAGCAATACAAGTTCTGATACATTATTACCACAATACTAACGCCCAAGCATACAAAAGAGCAAAACAAGCCCAGATATTTCCAACACAAAGGCTCTGTAACTATATTTAGTAAAGCATTTTAAAGGTTATAATGAGTTATACTTTTGAGCAAATGTAGCCTTGTCAGTTTGTATTTAATCTGTCTTGACAGACGATACAGAAAAAAGACAAATTTTTTTACCCAAATGAATTCAAGACTGCTGCCTTATTCTTCTTTAGTTCTTTCCCCTTTCTCTGTCTACTCCTCATAGAAACTAACATTAGTTTAAGCCCTTCAGGTCACCCGCTAAATGAGTTAACTGCAGCTAATACTGTAGCCTGTAGCCACACAGAGTCAGGAGGAGGACACTGCCATCCCTCTCTCTTCTATCTACCTGCTCTATTTGTGTGTGTCTCCATGTGGTGTGAGATGCCTGACAGCCCCTCATCCCTGCCTCGCTCTGTATCTGTGTGTGGGAAGCAGCTCAGGGATAAAGTCGTGTTCGCTCATTTTATTTAATTCTTTTAAACAAATCTGATATGAAAAGGGTGGTGTTTCTCCACCCATGTCCTGTAGGCACCTAAACCGTCAGACAGTCACATCAGATATTTGAAGTAATACTGTAAAATCTTTGTGATGTATCTGAATGGTTGTGATGCAGTAAACCCTACCCATCTTCCTGTTTGATCCTTTTCCAAATGTGGATGGAAGCCTGTGCACACACTGCATGCTGTTTGTCTCTGTCACCTCTTTAGTTTTAGTCTCGCTATTATTTCTTTCTTTTTTTCTAGAAATTACTTATTTAGATTTTTTTCATTATTTTATCTCAAAGTTTTTATAGCATATATATAAATGTACAAGTGCAGCTAATTATGTGGCCACAGAAGACATTTAAAATGAATGGAAAGTAAACAGTTGATCAAGTCAAGTCAAGTGTATTTATATAACCTGTAATCACAAATCTGTGACACTGGGCTGTATAATCTGTACAACAAATGACACTCTCTGTCCTTCAAACTGAGATAATAAGGAAAAACTCAACGCAAAAAATTCTGGAGAAACAGAATGACAATTTTAAGTAAATAAAGTACAAATGTATGTTAGCGTGCACAATTTAAATACATTTATGATTATCATTTCCTTCACATCTGCAAACAGTAACCAATAAACTAATTGAACCAGCTTTGCAACATGCCAAACTTGGCCACAATTACATATGCTACAATATACTTACGTTTTCTTTATGTTTGATTTAGCTGCCGTGGTATATAAGCAGTACTTTTAACAAATAATACCATAACTAAATTCCTCTGCTTGCTACTGTTAACTGCATTCATAACTGGGTGACAGCACCGGTGTAACAGTAGCATCTGAGCTGAGGGAAGTCTTCAAGCATTATTTTTTTTTTGTCTTGTCTAACCTTGTTGTTCTCCTCCCTCAATTAACCCATTTATTTCCACCTCTCTCTCCCTCTCTGTCTCCCTCCCTCCCTCTCTCTCTCTCTGTCTTTCTCTGCATGAACACAACAGGGTCAGTCTTGTGCATGACTCCTGCTAGCAGTCTTGGTAGGTTCTGACCTTCCCTTTGCTCTCTCACACACACTGGCTCGATGTATAAGAGTGGTGGGGCGGGGGGACTGGAGTGGGATGAGTGGGGCAATATTTGCAGCCCTTGCAGGTGAGACAAAAGTCATCGCAGCACCGCCTGTGGCGATGGTGAAACCTTTTAACATGTGCTCTAAGAAATTGTCATCAACCTGTCCATTTTCTTAGGCTGAGATATGAAACACCATTTTGTATCACCTGAAAGAGTTGTGACTTCTTTCTCTACTGACCTTCTTGCTAATGACTGTTTGTTTATGATTAAAAATGGTAGTGTGGATTAAATACTGCACCCTGATCTGTCCTTAAGCTGTAGGATAGCAACTCTCTGTTTGCTGTGCTGTGTTGATCAGGAAATTTAAATCAGTTTCCCAGAGAAATTTTTTCAGCCACATAACTGGAGCATTTGTCTCTGCTAAAAGGGGATGGGAATTGCAAAAAAGTCCCAGTCGGCTAACCAGCAGGTCTTCCATTAGCAAATGGAAAGAAAAAATTACGACTAGGTTAATGATTTGTAGCATACTAATGATGCAACGATCCCATCAGTGTTGCATGTTTTTGGCATTGTCAATGAAGTAGCCGCCTGGGTTTTTTCCACATTCTTCTTACTGTTCAACTTGCCAGCCCACGTGGATTTGAAAAATAAAATTCCCATCCCTGCTGCCAAAAATGTCATTGATTCACTGTAATTGGTGTCTTGTGCCCCTCAAATTCTCTGGGAAAAACAGCAAACTGATTTTCCGTATAAATTTCCTTATTTGTGATTGTAATCAGCTTCTCTCCTCTTGTTTTTGTTTTTTTTTCTCCCATGCTCTCTTTTCTTTCTTTCTTTCTTTCTGTCCTTCTTGCTTTGCATTGTGAATGGTTGCATGCCATCTGCCGGTGTAACCCTAACGATGGCTTGCTGGCTCTCTGTAACATCCGCCACCTCCACCTCCACCACCACCATCAACAACAACAACAACAACAACAAATGATACCGTCGACACACACACACACCACAACGGTTGCCATGGTTACCATAATGCTCCACCTACCTGTCCATCGCTACCACCTCCTCCCCTCTCCCCCATTCCTCCTCCTCCTCCCTCTCCCCCTTTCCCACCCTCAAAACAAAGTCCCAATGATGTACAGTGCTACGCCTGCTACTGTCTCTGCAGCAACAACTCCTGCCACAAGTGTCCCCTACGCAGCAACAGCACCAGCCAATCAGGTTTGCTCCTTTTAAAGCTTTCTTTCATCAGTCCCTGGAGCTCTGAATAAGTACTGCCTCCTAATAGTGAGCTGCAATAACCTGCAGCTGAGCCTTAGTCCAGGCCCATCCATCCATCCATCCATCCATGTGCCTAGGTGGGCTCACACTGGCATGAAAGCCTGTGAGTGGATTTATTATGGGTAGAATCTACCTGAGTGAGCCAGTGCCAGTGCACTGTATTGTATTTCTTGTAAAACACTGTACTTAGCCCCATTAGGCGCTCCCAATGTGCACTTCTTCAGAGCTCCCACATTTGCAAAGTAGTAGTTGTGTTGTGTTGCACTACTTCCTGGTTTTGTTTTGCATGTTCTGTTTTAAGTTTTATTTTCCACTTTTCTTGTTGTTGTCAAATAAGCCTCTCCATCTGCAGTAGGGGGCATCATTTGTACCGCTTGTGTGCTATGCAAACACACACATTCAAGCAAATACATAAAGGCCGCACTTAACAGCTGGTTCTGAGCAGCCGCCATGTTGGTTTTTGTGTTCTGTTTCCACTCCTCCCAGTTTCACCTTTTTACCTTTTCTCTGGCCGCGGGATAAAAGAGAGAATAAATGGTACGAGGATGTTACAGGGCACGCTTGTCAGGGTGAGACAGACACAGGAAGAATGATCACAGGAGCTGTCTAAAAATGGCCTCTGATCGGCGGCTCTCCTGTTGCTGTGTGTCAGCAGGAGCCAGGGAAGGAGGGCCAGGTTTGAATGCCAGAGTGACGCACGGATGCCCCATTTTAAACCTGGAAATTTCAGCACAATGCTGGCACTCTGGCCTCACACTGCTGGCAATCATTTACTGGTAGTTCAGTATAGAGGTGCCTTGAGGACACAGAGATGAACAGATGAGTTCTTAGTATGTGTTTAACCAAAGTTCTTATTTTTGTACCACTTTGTCTGACTAATGATATTCTTCAACTTTGGCCTCAATGTAAAGAGAAATATATTAATATCAACTTAAGTTAGAGAATGAAGATTAGGTATTTTAAATTTAACAATTTTAGAAAGTTGAAATCTAGGAATACCTTTAAAAAACAGTTCCTACATTTCTGTAATTAAAAAAAAGCATGGAAGCTCTCAGTGTAAAAAAATAATAATCATAGGTTCATTTTAAAATAAAATAAAATAAAATAAATTTCTCTGGGATGCCCTTTCCGTCATTAACTAAGGATCCAGCCCCAGTACCTTGTGCTTTATTGCCCCTCATAGGCCAGCAGTGTGTGCACTTCCTGTGACTCACCGTCTCTTCCTGTAATTGGCATGCAGCAGCAGTAGCAGCAGGAAGCAGAGCTCCTCTTTAAAGATGCATGTGGGACAAGGAGCCGGAGAAACACTGACGTCAGCCAACACTGTCTGTCTCCTTCTGTCCCCCTCTGTTTCTCCCCCGACCCCCCCAGCTGTACTGCATGCAGTACACGCCTTGTTTACTACAGTCATAGCCATTGTATGGCTTTTCAGAATAATTTTTTTGTACGGCACATGCAGCTGATGTTATTGTTTTTGCCGAAAGACAACCGTTCCCAAACTGTGTGTACTAATGTTAGCCACTTAGCATCAGCTGTTAGCATCTTCTAAATTGTTTATGTGGCTATTTTCAAAACAATTTGGACAGAACTTGAATTAAATGTTCGTAGTAATAATTATAGCATGCGCATTTACTGTAACTCGAGATAAAATAACTAAGCATTGCAAGATGAATGTGTTGATTACCTCACGTAAAAAAAAGATAAATAGGGAGTAATGCACATGCATAGAGGGACAGGATGTTACAGAGGTTCAGAGACTGGTCAGCTCATGACCCTCTGAACTGGCATTGTGATATGACAAGCAGCAACCAATCACATGATTCCATGTTCCAGCTCACATTAACCATGTGCTAACAGTGCAGGGGTCTCTGGTAATGTCAGTGCTCTTGCTGGAGATTGTGAAGTTGCAGCGACCTCGACTGTCGGAATATGGAATTACATCACATACTTTACGGACTGTGATCACCGGCTACTGAACCGATAAGATAAGGAAGATAAGTTGTTAGAATGAAATAGATGTAGAGATTGTTATATTGAGCAGCTCTTCGGGACCAGGATTCAATCTCTCACCTCCCTGTGGAGGGAACCTGTCATTATTCTCATCACATTTATGCAAATTAACAGACAGAGCAAATGCAATTAGAATATTAATTTGATATTAATCTGTAAAAAAGAAAAAGAATACAGTTCAAGCCTGTTTGTTTTTACCTACCTGTGGTACCAGACGGGCGGGGTGTACCATCCTATCTGCCTGATCCCACCCATCTGGCACCCAATAATCCTTTCCTATTTCCATACCGCACTATGGAGCAGGCTGTCCTCTGAGCCTGTGCACATCACAGTCTCTCTACCTGTGGTGACCTTATGTGATGTGCAATGTGACCAGTGGCTTCTGTCCTTTGCTGGCTGTCTGTTGTCTATTAACAAGCACCATGCGGCTTTGTTCTGTGTTGGCTTGCTGCCAGTGGCAACCACAGGACGGCAGCCCGCACCTCTTCTACATGTCTTTCCAGTCTATACTCTCTCTCTGTCTCTCCCCATCTCTCTCTCTCTCTCTCTCTCTCTCTCTCTCTCTCTCTCTCTCTTTGTTGTGTGTGACATTAGTCTTTATCTCCAAATGAGAGAATACACGCAGAGGTGACCAGACCTGGGTCAAAGGCTATTTGCAAATAATTAGAAGGTTTTGCTCTTATCTGCATGAAACACTAGGCAGGTGGCGAAACTGCAACTCAACAGCTAAGACAGGAAAGTACTGCTCATTGACAAATATTTGTCTGCAAGTGTCTCAACATTCTAGGACGCCGTTGTTGAGGTACAAACCCCCCCCACCTGATCCCGAAATGTGCTAAATGCTTCAACAAAATACAAACATGGCCAAACTATGTGTTGTCCGATCACATCTACAGGCAAAAGTGTTTATACTTGGTGGTGTTAAAAGCCTTCTGTCACAGCCTTCTCCAGGCTGCATCCCACTGCTATGCTCTCTCCAAGAACTCTGCCTTTTGCGTCCTGCGTAGTCTACAAGAATAAAGACAGACTTGCGTTTTGTAGTTTGGTTGAATCGGAGTCTGGTTCGTTTTTTTCCCCTCTTGGTATGATCCATTCGGGCAGATCTGAACCCAGCAAGCATACTCAACATACTACCACCCCAAGATCCTTTAGAGGAAGTGCTTACAAAATAATTCTGAAGTGGTTTGTTTGTGGTGGGAACATGGTCCGACCACAATCTGACCCAACTATAAGGCGTTCTCTGCGAATGTGAGCTAAACTGGGAAAACGCAACAAATCTACCAACTCGTCCACCAGAACAGAGCAAATGAACTATAACACCATAAGAGAATGCCTGGCTGCTTTCACACCTCCACACCTGGCCAGTTGCTCCCTAAAGTAGGCAAAATTGTCAGATTGTTTGTTTCAGGGAAGTTACAAAAATACGTCATTGTCGTTTCAGGCATCGTTATAGGATCTGAGAAGCAATTTGTTTAACGCACGCTGAAGTCTTAAATAGGCGAAAAAACGGAAAATACTGTTTGACCCAGATCTTAAGGGGACACCAAAAACAATAAAAGCATCAATCCTGTGTACTTATGTTGTTACATATATTATATGTTTTAATTAATCAAAATCAGTTGAAATTTCACTCTCACACACTCATGTACTGAGCCATGGCAAAGCATATTTAGAACACATTATGTTACTTTATGTTATACATGTGAGTATATATATATATATATATCTCTTACAGGTAAACTAAATCTTTCTCTCTTTGTGTTCTCTCCTTCCTCGTCTTGTTTCTCTCTCCTCCAGATCATCCTGAAGTAAGTGTCACAAAGGGAATGGAGTGTCACGAAGCTGCACTAGGAAACCCAAAACAGCCCATGTGTAAATACTACCTTACCTCTCCCATAGAGGTCCAGCAACCTGCATGCTAAGAGTGTAACACTTCAATTTAACCGTAAGAACTGCAGTGCCGGTGTAACACACACACACACACAAAAAGATATATACTGTATGTATTGCTAGAAAAAAAATATTAACATGAAAAAGTCAAAAATATTCTTATGTATAGTACTACATACATAGCAGACACACTATAGAGGTCATTTTACCAACTGTTCACCCAGAGTACCGTGGATCCCCTCTCTTTCATATTTATTCTAAAAACCGCTGCACAATGTTCATCCCTTTGGATAGTAATGAAAAAGATGATTGATTTGCACTATATGAGAACTTTAGTGCTTAATGTTGAAGTGGAAACCAGGAAGAGTCACAGAAAAACCCGTGCACAACCACACCGACGCACTCTGTGCTTTGAAGAGGGTTTTCAATCTTTGCTTTTCTCTCTACAAAGTTGAATGTCCTTGGGGCAGACGGGCTCATGTTTTCTTAATGTGACTGTCCCAACGAGGGTAACTCTGTGGCCCTCATCTGCCCCAGATGCTGTTAAGATGCCATGATGAAGCTTATGCTCCCCTCCCCCCTCCCCCCGTCCTGCCAACTTTTCATCTCCGGAAACATCTTGCCAAAGTTGCGGTTTGGAAGAGGTCAGTGGAATCAACCTGCCAGAACACAAAGCCACATTTTAACACCCTGATTAAAAAAAATTTTTTTTTCTCTTTTGCCATTGCAAAAGCTGCTCACAACGCACCCTTTATTTGCTTCAGTGCTGGGTTCTTTGTTCAGGAGGAGTGGTGGGATAGATTGTGCAGGGATTTTTGCATGTAGTCGGGACTGGGGAAGACAGTGCCCAGTGTTGACAGAAGATAGTCGTGGCCATTACCGAAAAGCCTAAAGGCTTGGGTCTCTGCCCAGGGCTTAACAAAGCTTGAGGGCTCGTTCCAGACAAACCAAGCCTTGTGTGTGTGTGTGCATGTGTGTTCGTATCTGGAGACGGATGGTCTGCCGGCAGACTGGGACTTGAAGCGAGGTCTAGCGGGTGATGATGATACCGGGCCTAGAAGGACAGGTTTTGGGGGGGTGGGTGAGGGACTTAAGTGCTAAGACTAAACAAACAAAAAAAAACGGTGCATTTGACGATGCTCGTCAAGCAAAAGATGACTTGAACTTCGACTGGAGGGCTATCTGTGACCGTCGGTTGTCCTGTCCAACCCTACTATCACCGATAATCCTGTTCCATTTTAGAAAACTGTAGAAGTGCCTAAAAAATGCTCATCAACAACACATGCATCCAGAGCGTATCACTAAAAGTCACAGACACAACACACTGGCTGTCAGAAGCTCCATGGACTTCTCCGGAAAGACATCACATTTTGCGAATCGTTACTGGAAGTAGTTTTCTAGTAACTGTTCATTAACATCACAAGTGACTTTATCGAATCAAAAGAAGTTAAAGAAACGACAAATCAAAAATAGCTTTGTAGAATGTTTGGTGACTTTCATGGTGTACCATCGTTTCTTACCATGGTTTGAGTAGTTTACATGAGGAACGTGAGTGAGAAAAAAAATGTATTGTAAACCGTGTAATGTATGTTAAGTGTCTCTTATTTTGAGAGTTTATATTCATGGTTCTAGAAATGTATTCAAAGTTATTTAAAATTTGTGTTGTGTCCTATTATCAAGGTATGTTTGAACCCCCCCAAACCCTCCACCATCTCCACCTTTACCCAGAACAATCATCTGTCTTTTAGCCCAGATCATAAATTCTTATTATATTAATTTAGACCAACCCTTTCTTCTTTTTGTTTTTTTGCATTTTATGAATAGCTTATTTTAACTCATGATACTAAATCTTATTTTCCCTTTTTTCAAAAATTCTGATGTAAGTTCATGGTGCTTGATTAACATTGACAATCCACAATCATACCTTGGAACAAGAGTGCTTCACTCTAGTTTCGCATTTTGGTTCCATTCACTCTGATTGTCTTCACATACGTTATGATTTGTGTGTAATATTTGTGGAAGGTGGTAAAAGTTCTATTTTGTTGTAATTTATCTTATGTTACTCTTGGTCAAATTTAAGTCAAAACAATGTTGTTAACTATTCTATTTTGAAATGAATGTAATTTATTGAGCTGTGCTACATTCTGCACGGTTGGTCATTTCAAGGTCTAACCTGTCAGGTCAGCGAATGAGAAGTCGCACATGTCTGTGGGGTGGGGTTTTAAAAGTCAACCCACCAATTGAAAGCTACTGGATCTTTCTTGCCTTCTCATCGATAAAAAGATCACGGTGTTGCAGTAATGAGCATAGTTATAGAGTTGCTTGTGTTGTTGGGAAAAAAATGTTTATTGTATAGATGACATTTTACCAAAAAAAAAAGAGAAGAAAATTTCAAAAAAGATGTACTTTTCACTCTAGTATAATAGTATTTCATAACAATATTAAGTTGTTGCTGTGGCAACTGAGTGTTGCAATTACTAAAGTTTGGTATTTTTGTAAATGACATTGTTATGTTGATTTTCTGTTTCTTTTTGCTAGAACACTGTACACAAGGTAGATTGTAAAGAAGATATGAACATTTCTTATTCTTCACTGAGATTATGACAATGACCTAATATTTTCATTAGCAAATAACAGCCTCTATAGTGCTGTGACTGTAACACTTAAATAGATTTAAAGTCATCAATGTTACATAGATTATATATAAATATATATATAAGAACTAAATAATCTATAAATTAATAAGTTCAGATGTACAACTCTTCCCCTGACACAGGACCTTTAGGTTCCACACTGAGACATTTTATTCACTAGAGTTAAGGATTGCACTTTTCATATTGTTTAAGGATGTGATCTGTTTTTCATTTGGTTTCGAGGTTTCTGGCCCCCTGCTAGTACAGTAATTCTGTTTTATCAATCAAAAACAGATACTACCGGTGAATAACTTTAATTCAACATGTTGCATGAGAAAACAATATTTTCTTTTCTTACTAAATTATAACGTACTGAATGTTTCTAGTGGAAAAAAAAAGTCTGTACACAAAAATGTCCTCATTTGGTGACCCACAATGCCCTTTGTGTATGGAATCCTCTTGAGATGTAATGTTTATTTCAAATGTGTTGGCAATGATTGACTGATGGTAAAAAGAAAAATGTAAGCACTTTCTGAGCAGTTGGTCAACTGAGCAGACTCAGCTTATCCAAACACTTTGCCTTATCTTGAGTCCATCGTGCTTAAGGTTTTATGTTTTTAAGAGCTCTTATGAAATTTATTAAAGAGGCTTGAACGTGTCTCTCATCTCAAATCCCTATTCAGTTTCATTTCAAATATGTATCTTTATATCTGAAATCATTTTTTAAGGTTTTAATGTGCACATCACAAAGCCAAAAGGGGTGACTGCAACAGAGTGTACAGTCATTGATCTTTACTTCTGGTCTCCAAAATATGTAGTGAGATCTTTTTTTTTTGTCCCATTGCCTTACAATGGAACAGTTTGGAGCTTGTAATTCACAGCTTTAGCCAGCAGATGGCGCTACACTGGAGACTGCAGGTTATGAATGGTGACTGCCTGTGCCATCGTTGTTGCAGTGTACCCAACCAACAAAGTAAAGACACAGAAAAATAAATTGTCAAGAAGACCCTCATCAGATTTATAGTTTCAATGTAATCATTTTTAAGTGTATTCTTTTTGCATATATTTTGTGCTATTTTATGTTTCTATAGTCAAATGTTTCTTTGGTTCCAGCAAGATAGTGTAAAATCTATTGAAAGAAAGAAATAAAGAAAATCTAAGGAATGTTTTTGTCTGTATTTGTGTCACTCGAAGGTCCTGTTTGTAAAGTATAAAACTGAAGAATCACATTTTTTATGGAAACATGTATTATGTGTATTTGAAGACCCCAGACTGAGTGACTCTTTTCAACAACCCCAATAACTTGTTGCCTGTGTATACTGTAGACTGAAATAACTGTAGTCCCTAGCTTGTCTCCAGGGCCCTCTCTGAGGCCCCTGATGGTCCCTGAAGTCCACTTTAAGAACTACTGCCATAAAAGTAAATTCTCTTATTTGTTGCTTTCTATGCCATTTGCCAGTGTGGAAGAAAATAAATCTTATGAGGGGTCATTAATACCACTATTTTATTGGCTATTGTATAATGAGCATACGAGCTAACTTTGATGTGTAAAAAGGTAGGGCCATTTCTCATGTTGACAGCAGGAAGACTATGACCTTCAAGGTGAGTGGAGGAGACTTGATTTTGGTAGCCCTGCTAACTTGTCTACTTGTGTTGCAAAGGTATTCTGTTTACCTTTTTGTCTATTTAGTTTTGACAAGTTTTGATAAGAATAGCGTGAGATGTTTTACAACATAACCAGCCTATAAGTTATGAGAAACCATATGAAAACCACATAAGGATCAAAATATGTTTGTTTTTACAGTTGCAGAGTTGAAAGATCAGCAGGTAGTTTTTAAACTTTCCAGTTTACCATATCATAGCCTAGCATGGGATAGAATTAAATTGCACAAAAAAGAGAATACTAAAATACAGCACACATTTATTGCTACATACATGAGCACACTAGAAGCCTGACAATCTTTATTTATGACAATCAGCATGTCCCACACAAGGTCAAGAGCACTGGATACAAACTAGGGTTTTATTTTTTCAGAAGGTCAATCTGAGACTTGTCTAGAACGACTCCCGTCATCTAACAGGTGCTTAATATAGTTTACCAGCAGGTTGCATTACAACTGTGTCGCAATCAGTCGTTTTAGCAAATGACCAAAAACGACATGCTTACATTCAAGTGACAAAGGCCTCTAGCCTCTAGTTGTCTAGCTAAATAAAGATAGCCAACATGACAGCTTCCCAAAAGGGGCTGGTGGCTGGCAGCAGTATAGGTCATAATAGGTCATAAACCGTGTTAGCATATAGGCCAAACTAAAACATTTAAGTTTACTTTTTGTTTAGTTTATCTTTATTGTCCCACTGACCTGTGCAGTCAGGCTTCAAATGAAAAACAAAATACAAAAGGACAACATCAACAACAATATCCACAGAATAAGTCTCAGAACAAGTTTTTTTTCATACTAGTTGAAAATGTGCACAAATGTACAGATATGCAAATGTGAAAAATGTTCAGTGCAGTACATAACCAATGTACACTAGAGCTATCTGCCATTAAGCACAGCATGGCACTTGGGATGAATGAAACATGCAGTCTTTCAGTCCTGCAGAAAGTACATGTCAAATACATTTTTCACAAAGATGTTTTCTGTAGATCATAAAGGACAGAGTGTGCATTTGAGACACTGGTGTTTTTAGGAGAACCATTCAAAGCTATCGTTATACTGATAGGCTATTGCAAATGTAAGAAAAACGTCAGCGGTTAGAAAAACGGAGTGCGGTAAGCTCAATCAGGAAGAGTGTGATCAAAGAGGGGCAGGTCCAAAAGAACTCACTCACGCACACAGGAGAAGTTTGCCCCTGGGGCTTTCTGCCGGAAAGCCTTTCTGCCTTACTACTTTGTTAGATGTAGGCACCAAAACTACTTGGTTAGGTTTAGGAAAAAAGAAAGACAGAAAGTCTTTCTGTCAGAAAGCCCTGAACACAAACTTCTCCCATGTGCATCTGTCATAGACACCAATTGAGAGTCTGTGGCCGACCTTTTGAGTGTTCTCAGTCCATGATGAGCATGAGACTCTTAAACCAGGGTTGTAGGTTGCCATATTAGGTGCACGTGTTTTAAGGTTGAGCAGAAATCACACTCCTGAAGGGTCTACAAGCACATATACAACTACAGCCAAAGTAGATCACTAATAAAAATGTAAACCCTTAACAGACGGACTATAGTCAGTTATGAATATAGGACAGACCAAGTCCACATAAAGCGTTTCCTATGGTGTGTAAGATTTCCTACATTAAATCCCACTGGTTAAATAATATTAAATTAGATTAGCTTTTCTTGTGTTTTCTGCTTTAAACAGCCATTTTGAATTTTGAAAATGTCACATCAGCATCCTCAGTATGCCCCCACACCACTCATACTTTGTCCAAATATGCCGTTGTTGAAATGTTGTCCATATAGATGATTATGCTAATATATGTAAATGATGCCAGTTGTTCAGCAAGTTAGCATTCGGTAGTTTTTAATGCTGGGGTCCCATACTGTACATTTCTAACAGAAAACTGGGGTAGGCCTACTGAACATTTCCAGGTTCACATTGCTGACAAGTAACAGTGATTATTTACAATTATGGAAGGCTATAGTGTCAGAAAATGCTTATATTTTTTTCACTCTCCTGGGAAAATACAAAAACAATTGTTGAGTTTGGAGGACATCTTGTAACCATGCTTTGTTTTGTAGCATATTTTTCTACATTGGTATCATTGTTAATAGATTAGTTTACTATAGTGTCTCTATTAATAGAGTAATTTCCAAAATGAGATGAAAATCAAATTTTTTTGTGATTTTTTGTTTAATTTACATTATGATTACGTTGTTTATATTAGTAAGCTTACATCTTTGTCACAAACATCCATATCCTCCCATTTCCATCCACTGTTTTTCTCCTTGTGGCACTAATCACCCCCCATATATTCCAGGAAGTAGAAACATCCAGTGGATGCACCGACTCCAGAGGCGTGGATTCCCGGCACGGTAGTCTTCTTCGGGATAAATAGGCTCTTTGCCTTTAAGTCGACTGTACCCCACTGTGCAGCGATATGTAGTGTTAGCCTTCTGTTTTGTTGGCACATAAAAAGATGTGCCGTCTAGTTGTTTCTAATAATAGCCTATCTTATTTTAACCACACCGACGCCTTATTGCATTATGGATGCCTCTGGAATGGGGTCCCTGCAAGATAGCGTGGGAATATTTCAGTAGAGGCTGTGGCTGTGCATCTCAGGGCTAAATGATCCAGCATCTTCTCAATTTATATAGCTGCAAGAGCATCTCCTTTACCGTAGGCCGTTACTGTGTCATGGCTGTAGTGTGAGTCCGGGCTGCTGTGCAAGGGGATGCGTTCCTTGTATACGCTGCTGTAGACTTCCCTGCATGCCGGATTTAACTCTACTGGAGCGCTATGCGGGAGTATAAGGTGGTGGTGCTCGGCAGTGGCGGGGTGGGGAAGTCGGCGCTCACGGTCCAGTTTGTCACTGGCACATTTATAGAGAAGTACGACCCGACCATTGAAGATTTCTACAGAAAGGAGATCGAGGTGGACTCCTCTCCCTCGGTGCTGGAGATCCTCGACACAGCCGGGACCGAGCAGTTCGCCTCAATGAGGGACCTTTACATCAGGAACGGCCAAGGCTTCATTCTGGTCTACAGTCTGGTCAACCAGCAAAGTTTTCAGGACATAAAGCCCATGAGAGACCAGATCATCAGGGTGAAAAGGTGAGACACTGTCGATTATATAAACCATCATTGTAGCCTATTACAAATCTATTCTGATGTAATAGGCAAAGGTTTTTCATTATGTTAGGCCCTTTAAAGTCACATCCCAGGGGCAATAGGCACACCAAAGGTTTGTTGTGTTGGCGGGAGGGAAAGCTATGATTATCATAATCATATCTTAAGATTCCCTCTTTGATATATAGTGAAATATAACACAGTGAAATTAAACTATTCTTCATGGTTCTGGAGTACCCCCTGGGACATCCCAAGGGCCCCTAAAAGTCAATGAATCCCACTCCAAAAAATGTGTTATTTATATATATATATATATATATATATATATATATATATATATATATAAATACATTTTTTTTTTTTACAATTAGTCCCCAGCAATCTTCTCTAAGGTGCATCTTATCAGCTCCCCTCTCTTCCCTGATCTCCTCCAGCGCTGCGTGAGAAGCTGCAACCGGGCTCATATGTTCTTCATAAGAGCCCAGCTGCGGCTCACCTGTCATACATCAACCCGCTGAACTCTCACTGGGATTGATATTCTCTGTCTCACACATGACTAACTCTGGATGGCTTTGATAAGTTCAGTCCATTACTCAACAAATCCACTGAGCTCATCTCATGGCTGGGACAGAGAGAGAGAGAGACAGAGAGTGGAAGGAAAAACTGTGATATTTCCTCTTGGTAGTGACATATTGGTGTCTTTGGCTCAGAGCCTCCCTTAATTTGTGTAATGACACTGACAGACTACAGCTGTACAGTCTGCAAGTTAAGAATGTATTTGGTTTTCAGGGAGCAAAAGCTTGACATTAAAAGGGCTCCAGTAAGTCCAGTTGTTTTGGTGCCATGTCAAGACACTAACGGGACAAATGTGTTGGCTGGTAGCTAAAGGATATCTAGTTTAGAAATCACACCCCCGGAGTCCAATCTGAGCCCCCCTGTTGCATGCCATCGTTCTTTTCTTCTCCCTGCACTGTCTGCCAGCGTAAGTAGTTGAAATTTGAACAAGGTTGGTAGTTGACCTGTAAAGAGATGGTTTGGGAATAAATTTTAAGGAATAGGAATGTGAGACCACTCTCATATCTCTGAAGGTGCTGCCAGGAGACGCTTAGCTTAGCTTAGCTTAGGATAGCTTAGCATAGCATGAAGACTGAAAGCAGGGGTAAACAGCTAGCCTGGCGTTGTCCAAAGATAAAAAAAAATTCAGCCTACAAGTTATATTGCTGTTGTTTAAAAAGCAAGGCAATCAGCTACAGGACGTCACTGCTCGCAGCCAAGAAATAGTCCAAGTTGTAAAAAATAAAAATGCAATTATGGTTGTAATACTGGTTGCTCAGTGAAAAAAGACTTTTGCAGAAGTACCGATGACCACAGAGTAGACAGACCC